ATGAAATAATTAGTTATGAGTTCTTACAAGCCCTATGTACTTGGTATGATGTACTGCTTGCAGTAAACAGTATTAGCAAAAGCCTAAAGCCTCAAAAAATGCACCTTGGAGTTGCGTTGCAGTTATTTCAAGGGCTAGTTCAGTTTTTTCAAATATTTAGAGCTGAAGGTTTTGTGGCGGCAACATTAGTAGCAAGAGAACTTAGTGAAACTCTAGGTGTAGAGCCAAATTTCAATAAAGTCAGGCGGAAAAGGAAAAGAAGAATGATTGAGTACGAGGGAGAAGATAATTCTACGGCAGAATCCGCCAAGCAAAAGTTTTAGTGGTGTATTTTTTTCTTATGGCAGATACTGCAACATAATCATTGAAAAGAAGGTTTGAACAAATAACTAATTACGATACTATGTTTGGATTTTTGAATCATGTCAAAGAACTAAAAGCATTAAAAGGAGACAAACAGTTTCAAAATTATAAAGACCTAGAATCGTTCCTAAGTTTTGAAGAAGAAAAAGATGTTTTTGGTAACAACCTTTTTTCTGAATTTAAGATTCTTTAAGAACTTCTACCGCCTGAGATGGAAACAGCTGCGGGGATTTTGAGATTTATTCACCAGATTCAAAACCCATTTCCGAACGCATTTATAGCGTATATAATTTTACTGGCTATGTCTGTAACGGTGGTAAGCGCAGAAAGCAGTTTTTTACGCTTGAAACTCATCAAGACATATTTAAGGTTGTCCATGGGTCAAGAAAGGCTGTCATCTCCGGCAACATTTTTCAATAAAATCTTACGCAACAACCAAAATCAATTTTGATGACATTATTGACGACTTCGCTGTAAAGAAAGCGAGAAAGATACAATTCATATAAGGTCAGTCTAAGTTTTGATATCTAAGTCTCTTTGACACAATTTTAAAAATTATGTAACCAATATTAATAATACAGTATTTTTTTATTTTTATTAACAAGAACTACTTGTTTTTATTAGTTAATATTTTCCATCTACCTACCTATAAGGACACTTCTTATCGATTGCCGTAAACACTATATATGCAAATAACATTACTATTTTGTAAAAATATATAGTATTATTTATAACTGATTATTCAATAATAGCCCAACAAGGAAAAATTTATTTATTAATCTAATTCCTATATCATTATTTTTGTCGGACAAAAATTATTAATTATTTTACATTATTAGGCCTATAAAAATTTTAAGAATAAGCTTTATTGTTATTATTCTAGGTTATTTTATAAAGCACTCAGTCCTTTTTATCAACTTACACGAAAATAACTACTCAAAATTATACCAACCCGAAATTTAAGTTTTACACAACTCCTTTTTAGACAGTAAGAGATAAAACTTTTTCTTTGTCAAATCCCTTAAAATGACGAGACTTGTTCTTTCAAAAAAACCTCACAAAATTATTTTGCTCCAGGCCTCGCATTTTCTAAGGACGGCTCTGCATGTGATGCAAGGTCACCATCATCAGTTTATATAATTCAGTATTTTACTGTGACTTAGTTTCAATAATATATTTGTAAAGTTTATTGATGTTAATAAGTTAATTAAATAAAATTAAAAAAAAATAAAAAAACATGCACAATGTTGGATTAAAAAAATGTTACCTGCTTTACTAAGCAGGTAACATTTTTTATGCTTTTTGTGCGATGTTTTTACCACTATCATATATTATTTAATTTTTGTGATGACTTGAGGTTGCGCGGGTTGTTCATTTTCTTACACTTTGTAGAGAACAATTCCCTTTGTTCTTAAGTACCACTAGATAAGTATGGGGGAGCAACGAATATACTTTTTCAGATTTTGAATGACGTTTAAGGCGTTCTAAATCAGGATGCCGTTATGGACAATGAGAAATTCGGATGGATGACAAATTTGTTGGGTTTGGCAATTGATGACTGGCTGTTGCTAGAAGGAATTGTTTATTTTTCTATAATCTATAACTAATAAAAATGTTTATTTTTCTATAATCGTAAAATAATAAAAATTTGACTTTTTAAAAAGAAAAATTTTTTTAAAAAGTTACAAAATCATACTGATTAAATATTAATTCAAAGTAATTATGTGCTCCTTTTTTGTTTTATTTTTTTAAACTCATCTAAACTCGTCTGCGTCTTCTTTAATTTGGAATATTAGGATAAAGAAAACAACTAAGTTACATTGATTGTCAAACCATTTTCCAAAAACAAAAATATTCATATTTTAAGACTGACGCAGTTTATAATCCTCAAACGATAATATTAGTTAAATTCTTGAGAAAAATTAAAAACCGCATAACTTAATGAGCTACTTTAAAAAACGACAACAAAATATAAAACTCTAAATATAATTTTTTATTAGTATTATTTTTAACGTTATTATTACTTAGGAAAAAAAATGATAAAAATAGCTGTTTGCTATGTTTAGTAAGTATAGATGGCTGTTTGCTATGTTTAGTAAGTAGTATTAGATAAGTATTTAGTTACTAAAAGTAACTAAATACTTATCAACTTTTCTCCGTTGCGAATAAAAGTAAATATATAATATTTATTTAACATATATTATAAAGTTGATTTAGTTAAACTTAAGAAAATTTTTTGAAATATGATAAAAAATATTTGAAAAATGTCAAAGTATGCAAATTTGATAAATGTTGAAAGCAGTGATGGTATTGTGGTTTATCCTCCGCCAGCTAATTGCCTTGTGGAGGCCACATTACCAAGGTCTGCAGAGACTTGTTCAGCTCCCAAGGAAGCGTCAAATCTCGCTCTACAGTCCAAGAGTAAAGTGAGTTTGGGAAAAACGAAGATATGTTAGAGTTAAAGATAGAAGTATTAGAATTAGAGAGATAGCATAGAGAAAGCGGACAGGATTGCACACGATTGGAGAAGGTGCAATACTAACTGTTTGGTTAGGTCATGATGGTATCCGACTTAACTTCCCAGTCAGGTAAGTAAAAGCAGTGATAAAGCTTTCTCAGCATATATGCATATATATGAATTAAACTGAATTTTACTTAACTCACTTGTACGTTTAAATACTTCTAGAGCTGTATTCTCATCTCTCCGTTAAGCTTAACAGTGCTTAAAATTTTCTTTTTAACTACTTTAAATTCTTTATACAAAAATTTCTTTAAAAATATAATTTTTCAAACATAAATGTTATATTTTAGTATTAGTTTTATTTAAACAAATTTAAATAAAATATTTTTCATATCTTTACTTAAAAATATAGTAATGAAATTTCAGACAAAGATTCCGTTAAGCTTAACGGAGAGATGTGAATACGGCTGCTGTTAGTTTATACAGTATACAGACTTAATTAAACTGATATACGAATTTCTGAAAAAAGTCAAAAGGATTTAAAAAAATATATACTTTTATTTAAAAAATGCAGAAATGATAAAAAATGCTGATAAAAAAAAAATGTAAATGTAATAAGAACTTAGAAAACACCTTACTCCACTCTGTATTTGTCAATTTCATTTTAAGTTTCTTCTTTTACTGACATTGTTGCCGGCAACCTAAAACAGGTGGTATTGATCACTTTAGATAAAGATGATGCAAAAATTCCTTATATCTTTCTTTTAAGTATATCAGAAAGAGTTTGTTCTTAGAACTTCCCTGTATTTAAACATATCATTAGTAGGAGGACAAAGTAACTTTTTTTTTAGATAAACCTCTAATTTTACAAAAAAATTCGGTGAATGGAACGATAAGTTTTCTAATCAAACTCTTATTCCGATCTTAAGCGTCTTGGACCTCGAATAACTCAAATTTATAGAGGATAGGCCAATTGAGATATATAGGGAGTGTAAATACCAAATAGGAATAACTGCTGTGAGTGTAGTACATACATTGGTTGATGGCTTGAGAAGGTAAGTAGTCTTTCAGGTAAAACAAAATTAGTCTTATGTTTGCGGACGTGAAGGCCACCGTCGGAATGAGAAACCCTATTTAAAATTTCCATACATTTCTTTTAGAGAATCAACGAAAGGATTTTTTTTGTTGTTGAGATATTAGGTGGTATCGATCACTATTGGCTTCATTAACTCTCAGTTAAATTAATGATTAGTGAAATCATTCACTAGTCAATACTTTTTATTAAAATTTCTTTATCATTAATTGAAGTACAATTGCTGAATTATTGATTTACCGAATGACGAGCTTCCTTTTATGAGTTTAATTTTACTAGTAGTTAACGGTTATTTAATTTGGTAATACTAAATTATGTAAAATGGTGAATTTCAAATTACGGAATTAGAAGTGCAACGGTATTCTTTAAATCTCATTTGACAAATACCAAGCTTTTCAGTATTACGTTATTCCGTGTGTTACGCGCGCAAATAACTATTTTTTTAAAGATTTATTATAAATATATGGGATTAGTGGTGTAGTTTTAAGAGCGCTTTAACTACTTAAATCATTATTTTATAGTTTTTAAATATAGCTATTTACTTTCTATTGATAGAAAGTTATCATTTTCCAATTACTGAAAGTTTATGGTTAAATAAATTACTATGTAAAAATTATTTTAATTGGAGTGTATAAAAAGGTTGAAAAATTAAACTTGAAGTACAAATCAAACTGTTCACGAAGAATGAACCAACGAGCATTTTACGTTATCTTTGTGATTTCTTTTCAGGTTTTTGTGAGTAAATATTGAAAAATATAAGTATTGTACTTATAATAAATATCGTAACTATATTATAGTTAAAGTATAATAAGATAATACAGTAAAACATTAGTAAATGCATCAATGTTTAAATTATTTACAATATTTTTAAACAGCTAGGTGAATTGACTCCAAATGAGCGTGATAAAGATAACATAGCTGCCGATGTAAAGTAAGTGTTATATACACGCATACACGAAGCCTAAATGTTGAAGCGTAAATGCATCCAACATATTATTTTTTTTAGAGATGAAGAAAAAATAAGTGACGGAGGATATGGAGGATATGGAGGATATGGAGGATATGGAGGATATGGAGGATATGGAGGATATGGAGGATATGGAAGATATGGAAGATATGGAGGATATGGGGGAGGATATGGTTACGGAAAAAGAGATGTAAGCTTTTTTATATATATTTAACTAAAGATATGTGTCTAATAATATTAAATTAAAAGAATTCGGTTGAAGAAACCGGTTCCATAATACGCTCATACCTATAAACTGTTTTAGTGTTAAACATCAGTTGTTTCAATTCGCAATAAGAAATAATTACCTATAATGATAGCAAGAAATATATTTATTTTTGCTCTTTATAAAGTTATAAACATACGCGCACTTTAAATTTAGATAAGTGAAGATTTTTCTTCAGATAAAATAAGTGATTATGGTGGTTATGGAGCATATGGCGGTGGTGGATACGGTAGAAAATATGGTGGTTACGGTGGAGGCTACGGCGGTTATGGCGGGTATGGTGGAGGTTATAAAAGAGAAACGTAAGCTACTGTTTATTTATTATACTAATAGTTTTTGGGTTTAAAGCAGTAAATTCCAAGTTTTAATTCATTATTGCATTTTTTATTTTTCATTTAGAAATGAAGATGAAGATACCAGTGGAGGTGGAGGTGGAGGAGGCAGCAGAAGCGGAGGCGGAGGCAGCAGAAGCGGAGGCGGAGGTAGCAGAAGCGGAGGAGGAGGCAACAGAAGTGGCGGAGGAGGCAACAGAAGTGGCGGAGGAGGCAACAGAAGTGGCGGAGGAGGCAACAGAAGTGGCGGAGGAGGCAACAGAAGTGGCGGAGGAGGCAGCAGAAGTGGCGGAGGAGGCAGCAGAAATGGCTGAGGAAACAGCAGAAGCGGTGGAGAAAGTAGCACAAGCAACAAAGGCAAATAATGCGGTACAACTCGTCGAAGAACTTTTTTTTTTAAGATTTAAATTTATCTTTATTTTAATATATTTCTGTGTAATATAACTTTATTTTGATATAATGATTGCATCTGTATATTTTGAAATTTCACTCTTATATGTTATACTTCTTAATAAACTGTAGTACTTTTTACCACTTGTCTTATGACTCTTCCGCATATCGCAGGAATATCCAATTACAAGTTATTTATTTTTTTTAACTTCAAAATACTGAACACGGGAAGTTATAACATTTGCATATTTTATCTTAAATATTAGAATATTTAACTTATAGGTTATATTTGCACAATTTGATGAAATGCAAAAAGCCCACACTGCAGTGTGGGCTTTTACATGTAATATCTTTTATGTTTGACCTGGTCATTTTAGAAACAAACATTTTGTTTATTAGATTATAAATAAATATAACTTCTTGAACTCATCGTGTTATGGTAACCTTTCCTATGGCATACACTTTTCTATCTTTGTAATTTCAGCCTTTTTTTGTTTATTATCAGAAAACTGTTTTTTTAGACGCTAAGTATTTAGTTACCACAATCTATACTTAATTTGATACCAACATCATCTGTTTCTTGATTTTTGAGATAAAGCACCATTGCTACAAGCATTCCTACTAAAATAGATTATTAATCCGAGAACTATTGAATATATTTTCTCGGAAAATTTTAATTAATAATTTTAATTAATAATAAAAGTTTATAATAACGAGAACTTATATTCATATAATGAATTTTTTGAAATAATTTTTACACAGGACATCGTATATTTATTTTTGTGCATATTTAAAAAAAAAATCAAAAAAATAGAAAACTTAATTTTTTTTTCTTTTTATTTTTAAGGATTAATTTAATTAATTTTTTGGAAATAAAAGGTTGTACGCCGATAGCTTTCTAAATTGAATATTAAACCATATTTATTATATCATTTATTTTTTTATTAAGATAGATAAAGGATTTAGGAGAATAATTTGAGTCGGCTCTCTATACAGTTCACATCTGTAAAAATGAAGTGAAGTAACTTACTACAGAGGTAGCCAGAATTTTTTTTTACTTACAAAAACTCAATTTGTTGCAAAAATTTGTATCAAACAAAAAACTGGCCAGCTCGGTAGTAACGTGAATCAATTTATTACAATTTTGAGAACTGCATTAAACAAGAAAAAACTATTTGCATAAACTTCTTTGGCTTTTCTTGGTTTTTTATGAATGTTACAGATTGTAAATTAGTTAACTGAATAAATAGTAGTTAATAGATTAATTGCCTCATTTTCAGGGCCGTAATTATCAGGGCCGTAAGTTTCTTAGGAGAGTTAGCTACACTCTCTGTAGGGAGTGTAACTAACTCCCCTAAGAAGCTAATCAGTCGGCGAATTGCACATTGCAGACGGCAAAATTGCTTCTGTTTTTGGAAGCCGGTAAATGTCACCTTACAAAAACCGTTTTTTTTTCTTTTTTTTTTTTTTTACAGATCTTAATCGGCAAAAAACAGATACTCCTTTTACCTTTTTTTTTCGAAATTTCGTTTTTTGAAATTCAATTTGTAATAGAGCGGAATAGTTGCATAATAATATAAATAATAATTGTAACTATAATAATATATAAATGCTAATAATTGACTCAGAAACGTTTACAATTTTTAAGAAAAGCAGCTAGAGGGCTGGATTGAGCAGCTAGAGGGCTTGATTTTTACGAAAAAACACTAAGTTAGTTTTTTCCAAACAAGCTCGGCAGTCCATAATATACAATCAAGGTTTTTGTAGAGAGAAAAACTCTATGCTTAAAATTTTGCTATAATAAAGCTCTGATTCATTTGTCTTTGTCTAAAACTGTCTTTCAATATTGAATACAGGCATTATTTTTCAATGCAAGTATTGCGCGAATGAAGCCATTTCCACTAACTGAACCACAAACATAATCTAAAGTCTAGGTTGCAAGTTTGATTCATCTCTCTTTGAATATGGCATTGAAAATGCTGCACATCTGGAACATAAACATTTGTTAACATTTCTATTAGACTTTTATCGGAAATGTAACGATAATCGGAGTTTCATAGAGTTCACATTTTTGCTAATCAATTAGAGCTATTTTTCTTCAAAAATGATTTCTGGTTTAGAGAACTTTTGAGCTTTATTTTTTATATAGACCTTACTTTAATTACTTGTTGAAATGAAAGTTTCCTCAAATGTGGCCGATTATCCGATATCATAGCAAGAAGCACGTTTTTCGGATGTGCAAATAAATTAGGGTAGAACGTGGCCGAACGCGGATCTGATCCAAACAGTTTATTTTTTATGACCTTTTTTATACATTTTATATATTATTCAAAAGTTAATTATCGAATTTAATTTAATCTTGTTCTATATAAAGTATAATTGTAGAATCAAAATATATAGCATTTAATCTTTCGAAAACACGACGGTTTTGAAAAATATTTCCGTTTTCCCATATTTACTAAATATTAAAATTTTTTTGAACATTCTGACTTAAAAATAATTCATTTATTATCTATTTTTTATTACAAAGATAGCTTATAATATCAGAATTGTACATAGAATTTGTTGGAGTAGGGTAAGGTTGCGTAAGATGAGCAGGTTCCTAAGATAGCATAATCTCTTTTACGGGTAGAATAATGATTTTTTTGCTAACTTTTTTGGTTAAGGATATTCATAGAAGTTCGACGGTGTTACTTATTTTAATTTCTTGGTTGTATAGTTAATATTATTTGATTGTTTTAGTGTTAAAAATGTTTACCATCCCCATTATAATTTTTTATTATTCAATATTTTGTAATTACCTCAAAATGAAACAAAACCATCAAAAATTTATTACATCCTCAATATTTTACGCTTCTCTACTGCTAATTCCATGGGTTATATAAGATAATACCCGGGTCGGATTAAGTACTTCGTGGCCTCCCGTCACTTTAGGCTTCCTAGCCTCTGTTGGCCTCCTAGCATTTAAATTTAACAGCGGTTTAAAGACATTCGTTCAATAAGTAAAAGTTAAGATCAGTAGGATATCGGTTAACAAGTGTTGTGCACTACAAGTAATCTTCAAGATATCCATGCTGCGGAGATTCGCAAGAAAACCAAACAGAGAGTTCAATTCAGAACAGACTTTCTTTTTTTCATATATATCACTCATTAGTTCGTCCGTGATCTCATTAAAGTCGGCAATCATTTAAAATTTCCCAGAAAACACTATAGTTTCCCCCACTGTTAATTTCATCATCGTAATACCTTTGTGTACTCTTGGGAGCCTTTGAACATAGACCTAATTATCCGTGTTGACCAAAGACACGGTTAGCTTTTTTAATTACTTGAAATTAGAGCGAGCTTGCTGCACGTAATGATCCAGGAAGTTGTAAAGTTCTTCAACCATACCTAAATCAAGCTTTACGAACTACAGTTTTTTGTTAACTTTGTTAACCATTCCATAATTCTATTCCAAATGATTAATAAATTAGCTGTCTCAAGTTGTTCCATTTTGGTCAAAATTCCAAATGCCTTTGCTCTTGATTTTGATTTTTGATTGTTGTTAATATTAAGAAGAGCCGCCTGTTTAGAAAATATTTGTTAATAAGTGTGCAAAACTACAAATAAAAGATGTTTTTATTCAATTTTCTAAATTATTCTTAATCACCTTGTAAATAGAATAACCCTTTTCAATTGCTTAATAAGCATCAGCACGAGCTGACCAATGAGTTTGTGAGAGAGTCTAGGGAATCTTAAAACGTATTCCAGCAAAGAACTTTGACTTTAAGATACGTTGATGCGTTAATGCAGAAAAAAAGTTAAATATTTTTTAAAGGAAGCTAAAGAAATTAACAGCAGTTCCGTCGGATTCCGCGGCACTCACTCCTTCAAAGTTCAAATAGTGAGCAACACACGGAATCTATTCGACGAGAACGTTGATCTCTTTAATTCTTACTTGTAAACCAAAGTAGATACCAGACATATTACTAGCATTGTCGTATGAATGGCCACAGCCATTTTGAATGTTGATCGCATTTTAATCTAACTTTTTTAAAAAGATTTCAGACATGGAAGTTGCAAAATGATTATGCATGGGAATAAATGCTAAGAGCCGCTTAACTGGTTTTCCGTTTTGTAGATTGGGAGAAGAATCAACGATTAACGTTACTTAAGATTGATCATATTACCTATAAATTTCAGAATCTCGGCGGATAAATTCCATAACCTCGGCGGATAAATTCCATAACCTCGGCGGATAAATTCCATAACCTCGGCGGATAAATTCCATAACCTCGGCGGATAAATTCCATAACCTCGGCGGATAAATTCCATAACCTCGGCGGATAAGTGAATAAGTTCTTTGCAAATCTTTTTAGATAAGTATGACATACAATTTTCTCCTTTGTTTCCATGAGTTATCAAATGTTGGGCGAGGAAAGGATCAAATTTTACTAATAGCTCAATACATCCAATAAAGTTTCCGTTGCGTATCAATCTTAGTTTTTCGTTTGATCCGCGGAATGATAAT